AAAAAAAAAAAAAAAAAAAAAAAAAAGAGGTATGCAACTTGTATCAGAACCAACTTACAATGGAGTCGACGGAATGGAACCCTGTTCATAAGTTGGAGACTACATGTATTTAGTTCCTCATTCATTCAACAAATTATTATTACAGCCTTACTATGTGGCCAAGAACTATTAGAATACAGGTGCTGGGATTACAGCACTGAACAAGACAAAGCCCCTGCCCTCACGGAGCTTATATTCTATTTGCAAAGAAAGACATACAAATTGAAACAGTAAGAAAAACAGATTAGGGGCTAAAGTATCAAGTGATGGTACAGAGGGTATAGCTCTTTTAAAATAGAATGGTCAGCTTCTCTGAGGAGGTAACATTTTAGCAAAGTTGTGAATAAAATGGAAGAGCAAGGCCTGTGAAGATCTGGGAACGGCATTCTCTAAGCAAAGGGAACAACTGGACCAGCGTCTCTGAGACAGAACAAGCTGGCCATGTTGTAAAACAGAAGATACAGCACGAATTTCAGTTTTAGCACGAATGATTAACAGAGAAAAACATACTGAAAAATGTTTTACAAATGACAAAATTAACCTCCATGGGCCAAAAAACCGTTTGTTTGGTTTTTTTTCCCATTATCTTTGTATCTAATTCCCCAAACCCTAAAATATTTGCATGGTTTCATCAATAGCTGACAGCACCACACAATAAATGTCAGAGGTAAACAAAGTTACTAGGACTAAAAGGAATCAATGCAATACTCAACTAAAGAACTTTTACGCCAAACCCACTAAGAAGACTTAGGATGAAAACCAAGAACCACATCTCATGCACAAACTGATGCAAAGGCATGCTAGTAATAACTACTACAATTACTTAAAAATAAAATAGTTTTAAAGGGAGAACTACACCACATTCATAGATTGGAAAACTCAATGCTGCTACAATGTCAATGTTCCCAGATTGATCTGCAGATGCAATGCAATCTCAATCAAAAGCCCAAAAGAATTTTTGTTAGAAACTGATAAGCTGATTTGGAGGACTTACACTGCCTGATTTCAAAAGTTAGGATAAATAAAGTACAGTATTGGTGTAAGAATAGACATAATTATCAGTGATACAGCAGAGTCCAGATTTTTGATACAGGTGCAAAGGTTAACAACTGGGAAATCATACTTTTTTCAATGAGAAGCTGAAACAACTGGATATCTATTTGAAAAAAATGAATCCTTAGCTCACATCATACTCAAAATGGATACTCAAAATGGATCACAGATAAAAAAGCTATAAAAATTCTTAAGAAAACATGAGATATACTAAGGATATCCAGAAATTTTTTTAAAAACTGAAAATACCAAGTGTTGGTGAGGATTTGGAGCACCTGGAACTCTCATACACTGCTGGTAGGGATGTAAAACAGTACAACCACTTTGGAAAATAGTTTGGCATAAATATTAATATAAATATTAATAAGTCACATGAAAGTATAATCCCCAAAAGAAGTCTTGTACACAAGTGTTCACAGTAGCTTTATTCACAATAATCAGTAGTTAAAATCAACTCAAATGTTCACCAACAGGTCACTGAACTAACTGTGGTTAAGTCCATACAATGGAATATGACTCAGTCATTAAAAAAAGAACAAATAATGATGCACCAACAATAATGAAATCTCATAAACTTATGCTAAGCAAAAGAAACCAGACACCAGTATACATACTATATGATTTCATTTAAATAAAATACTAGAATAGACAAAACTTATCTATCAAAATAACAGACAGCTAATCAATAGCTGTCCACAGCAGGAGTAAGAACTAGGGAAAAACTACAAAAGGGAACAAGGAACTTTTGTGGGATGACAGACATGTGGTGGTGATTACATGAGTACACACATTTGTCAAAACTCACTGAGCTCTAATTTAAAATTGAATGCATTTTCTTGTATATAATTATACCTCAACAAAGTTGATTAAAATTCTTAAAGGATTATTTAAACGTAAAATTTTGCTTTGCATATAGTAGATGCTCAGTAAGTTGAATGAAAATCAGAACATATTAAAACATTCCTAAGATTCAATGATGAACCAATAAACTGAAGTCTGAAAAAAATATACGACTCCTGGTGGTACACAAAAATCTCTTATTTATATTCACTGAGTATTTGCTCAGCACCTACTTACCAGATGTCAAGAACAGTAGGAGCTGCAAAGAAAAACAGAATCCCAGAACCATAAGAAGCCCATATGCAACTGGATACAGAAGAATGACAAGAAGCTTAAAACTTACGTTGTTAGCAAGAATGCACCATCACCACATCTTTCCAGAGCCTTTCGTGCAGGAGGCTTTGCTGCGAATTCTACGAAACCTTTTCCTGTAGCTCTACCACGATCATCTACAACCACAACAGCTTTCTCTACTGGACCAAACTGGGAAAATGCTTGTTCTAGAAGCTCATTGGAAACAACTGGAGAAAGGTTCTTGACAGTTAAGGCTGCTCCATGTGTAGCAAAGCGAATTCGGAGAGGTCTGCTCTTCAAAATGGTGCCATCCAGCTCTGCTTTTGCAATTTCAGCCAGTGTTCTTGATTCCTTTTTAGAAGGAAAATTTTATTTTTTAAAGTTGATAGTAACACAAATTTTAATAGTAGCTTACTTCTAGAGAGAACTGGGTAGCTTTAAGAAATGGCTGTTTTGTGTCTTTTAGTATCACATGCATTTTATTAACCATTCAAAGATAAATAATTTTAAACATTTTAAGTAGAAAGTTCCAACCCCATTGTCCTGTTCAAAGGTATCACTTAAAGACTGACTGCTCATAAACAAATTACCAGCTACTAAATATTCAAAGCAATATCGTTCTTAAATCTCCTACATATATTAAATAATTACTTTTAGAGATCAAGTGCCAGTTACTGGAAATTACTGAAAACACAACGCCTATACCCTCCATGTTTTTGATACTTATATCTTAATAAAACACCTCATCTCCCCATCGCCAGATAAATCCTTTCCTTTTTTCTTTCCAGAATTTCCATTTTTCTTTCTCCTGAAATACTTTCACAAGCTACACAGTTCTCACCATCTTATACAGAAGCAAACGGACATATGCACGAACTACAACAGTTATCTCCAGTATTTAGAGAGAAGCAAGCACACACATGCACTTACTAGAAAATAAGCTCAGTGCTGAAACCGCAAGATAAGCAAACCTTCTCCTTGAAATATTCAAAGTTGGCACAGAATATAGGCATTTACAATACATAACTAAATTTAATAGAGGTATGTTCTCTTTCCTTGTGTTGTGAGAACTCTACAGGTAGAACTGAAAAAGGCATTATATGTGTAAAATGAGTACAAATATACTGTTATGAGAAATGTCACAAGAGTTTTATTCAGTCCCTAGAATGTTCCCAACAGCTTTAAGTTACTGCCCTTATGCAAAAACGTAACTGCAGAACATTTTTACAAAAACAAATGAAGCTAATCTTTTTAGACATATTCAAAATTGCCATTCTGTTTATTTTCCTTAATGCATTAATAATAGTTCTAATAGTAGCAAACATTTAATGAACATTTAACAAGGGATAGGCACTTTGTACCTAATACATCATTTAATCCAACAACCCTGAGAAATGGAGCCTAAATTAAAATGCTGTCAGGTGGAATTAGAAATCAGAAAGCACATGAGGAAACTTCATGGTGTGAAGTTAATAGTATACAGCTTGATAACACTTTGAGTTAGAGACTATGCATTTGCTAAAACTCACCAAATGGTACACTTTAAAATTTGTACATTGCACTGTACTAAGTTTCAAACATCCTAAAAAATAATACTGGATTCTAGTTAACGACAAGCATCTTGGTATGTTTAGGAGTCACAAACTGATGAACTGAAAGAGGGATGAACAGTGAAAAATCAAGCATAAAAAAATTTAATTATAGAATCTAGGTGGTAGATATATACTCATTTCCATGTTGTAATAGTTTTCATAATAAATTGTTTGGGAGTGGGAGGGGTCAATGGTGGGACTGGGAGAAATAGAATGTTTCCAGAGAGCACATGCTATTCAGATTAAGGAGTCCCTGGGTAGTGCAAATGGTTAAGCGTTCAACTACTAACTGAAAGGTTGGCAATTCAAGTCCACCCAGAGGCACCTAGGAAGAAAGGGCTGGTGATCAGCTTCCGAAAAGTCACAGCCTTGAAAATCCTGCACAGTTCTACTCTGCAACATATCAGGTCACCATGAGTCAGAATCGACTCAATGGCAACTGGTTTGAGTTTTTGGCTTTGTTATACAGATTGAGTCAGATAAAGTCACAATGTGAATTGCCAATTTTTATCTTAAATCATCTAATTTGTTATTGATAGCAACCAATTCAATTTTTAATGCTGTTTAGACCAAACCAAATGTTTACTTCCAGGCAAACAAAATGTCAGGAATATTTTATTCTTTTTTCAAAGCTTATGTTTTTATCATGGTTTTAAAATGATTCTGTTACAGTTTCTCAACCTCAGCACTATATACATTACGGGTCAGAGAGTTCTTTTTGTAGGGGGGCTATCCTGTGCACTGGAGCACTGGTGGCACAGTGGTTAAGAACTATGACAGTTAAGCAAAAGGTCAGCAGTTCGAATCCACCAGCCACCCCTTGGAAACCCTATGTGGCAGCTCTACTCTGTCCTATACAGAAGCTAGGAGTCGGAATTGACTTGACGGTAACATGTTTTTTTCGTCTGATCCTGTGCACGGTAGGACGTATAGCAGCACCCCAGCCTCTATCCACTAGAGGCCAGTAGAACCATCTCCCGGTTCTGACAATGAAAAGTGTCTCCAGATATTGCCAAATGTCCTCTGGGGAGCACAACTGCCTGTTTGAGAACCACTGCTCTAAACGTGTACTGAAGTATCTGTTCTTAGAATTACTTTTTAAAAGCCTAAGTATTTACTAAACTAAAATCAAGTAAAATTATATCTTCAAAATGAGACCAAAGAATTCTTTACTTTATGCCTCAGAAAATGACAACAGTAAGATACAACTTTTATTAAGTACAGAGATAGAGGTCCCTGGGTGACACAAATGGTTTGCACCCAGCTACTAAAGGAAAAATTGGCAGTAGGAAGCCACCCAGTAGTGCCACAGAAGAAAAGCTTGGTGATCTGCTTCTGTAAAGATTATAGCCAATAAAACCCTATGGAACTCAAGCCTCAGTTCTACTCTGGGGTCACGTGACTCAACAGCAACAGATCTGGGCTTTTTTTTTTTTTTGGTGGGGGGATACATGTTACATAAGTACGCATGCACATCATTATCCTCACCAACAATCCTATTACGTGGATTTTGTTGCTATCCCCAGTTTACATATGGGGAAACAGGCCTCGAAAGGTTGAGCACTTGTCTAAAATAACACTGCAAGTGCCAAGATTTAAACCTATACAGAATTTACAATCTCCACCAATATACAATAAATCCTATCTGCCAGCTGGTGTCCTTGCATCACTGTCCGCAAAAAATAAAACTATAGGTTCTTCATAACTGGGAAGAACACAAAAAATAAGTGACTGCCCCAAGATAATAACTACTCAAGCTAGGGTCCAATAATTTCCCCTTCTGGGCTCTTTTCAAAGCACATGAACTTTTCTCTCACAGTTTACTAACTGCTTAAAACTACAAGGGTACTGCTATGGATTGAACTGTGTCCCCCATATAGATGTGTTGAAGTTCTAACCTCAACCCCTGTACCTGTGAATGTGAGCTTGTTTGGAGTTAGGGATTTTTCTTAGTAAAGGTGTTATCGGTTAAATTTACAAGGTCATAGAAGTGGGGCGTCCTCATTTCTTCTGAGTGGTGTCATAAAAGGGGAGAACAGATACAGAAAATGGGAAGAGAGGTGAGACATGAAGATGCATCTAAAGGCTAAGGAATGCCAAGAAACTCTGAGGGCTACCAGAAACTGGAAGAAAAAAAGAAGGATCTTCCCACAGAGTGGACAGAGAGAGCACGTGGCCCTGCCGACACCCTGAATTCAGACTTCCAGCCTCCACAACTGTGAGAAAAGAAATTTCTGTTCTTTAAAGCCACCCACTTTATTGTATTTTGTTACAGCATCCCTAGGAAACTAAGACATGTTAAGCCTGCCCAAGCCCATAGCTGTTCAGTCAATTCCGACTCATAGCGACCCTGTATTAGGTAACAAATACAAGGAAATCCACTGATGCGAACTGGAAATAGCCTTCAAGCCAATCAGTAGAAAGTTGATTAAGTAAGCTGCAGGACATTCATACTGTGAAATGCAATACGGTTATTAAAAACAATCTAATGACATGAAACGGTGTTAAAGATTAAACGAAAAATCAAATCACAATATATATAGTATGGTTTGATTTTGGAGGAAAAATAATACACAAAGGTTAACATTTAGGAAGTGTTTTGGGGAAGGAAAGACCTTTTCACTAATGCTAAAACTGTAATTAAGAAAACTTTCCTGAAATAAAAGATGACTGGAAATGATATACTGGACAGGCTCACTAAGTACATTCTGCAATGTCTTCTATGATATTTGAATGTTTTATAAGAAGTATGTATCATTTCACAATTAAAAAGAAAAAGCATGGGGGGGGGGGTTGAGTCTACAAAGAATAAATAAAAGTAAATTCAGTTCATCTTAAATTGGTTTCTCCAGAACAGGTTCTCAAAGTTTGGCAAGCATGAGAATAACACACGGAGAGGCTGGAAAAACTCACAACTGCTGGGCCCCACCCCGAGGTTTTCGGATTCAGTAGGCATCTCCAGGGAACTCCTAGTTAATTGATGAGGTGAGTAAATTTTTGAGATGGTGTAGGATCAGCACTGCTAGCATGAATGGCAGAGAAAATAATTTAAGTGGCTTTCTGTTTACACTAGAAGAGATCTGAAGTTGCTGGACATGGACCACACTACACTGCTCCAGAAATCTGGTCTAACGCTAAAAGCAGAAATTGAGTTCAGGCCAACTAATATTAGTTTTCGTTACAGTAAACTAACTCAAATCCACTACAACTCTTTAACTGACTCAATCTAAACTGTAACCAGCCAAAATCTAAAAAAGTACACACAGCTTTTGGGTCTACATTCCACAATAAAGTATATCCAAAACAGACAGTCTATTTCATCCCTAACCAGTTCCACTGAGTCAATTCTGAAGTACCATAAATCTACCCTATGGATTAGGGCCTTGTGTGAAACAGCCACTTAAATGCTTTTCCCCACCATATATACTAGCAATAATGACACTACGCATCTCAAAAATGTTGTCTCACCTGATCAATTAACTGGCAAACTAATAATTTCTAGAAACATAAACCTGTATCACTGTCTATTTTAAAGCTACTACACACCCTAGCACTGTAACAATACTTACATTCAGATTGAGTATACACTTCTTTCTGAGTAGAAAGAAATACATAATAGCTCAGCAATATTTAAAGCTATTGTTACTCACAGATTAAACTGTAAAATTATCCATTAAGTCTGATTTTGTAAACTAAATCCAAATTTCCAAATGACAAAGTTTCAACATCCTTACACAAAACTTTAGGATGACAGCTTAGAGGGGCATATCCCAAAGGAGCAAACAACAGTAGCCTTTCTCACCTCCCAATTCATACATAATCACATAGATGAAAAAAGGCAGGAAAAGCTATTAGACTAGAGCTGTGTTGTCCAATCTGTCCAACACAGCAGCCACTGGAGCTCTGGTGCTGTTGTCGTTAAGAGCTTGGCTGCTAACCAAAAAATCAGCAGTTCAAATCCACCAGCCACTCGTTGGAAACTGTATGGGGCAGTTCTACTCTGTGGCAGAATCAACTCGATGGCAACGGGTTCGGTTTTTTTGTTTTGTTTTGTCCATATATGGCTTTTAAACTTATTAAGGATAAATAAAATTCAGTTCCTCAAAACACAAAGGGAAATGGCAGCTCTAACCATTCCTTCTCCTTCAGAATGTCAACTTTAGCATAGGCCAAGAGGATGCCAAAGGCTAAGAATGATGAAAGTGTTACATAACATCCCTTTTGGAAATTTCTTACCAGAAGTTACTTATAATACTTTATTATAGGAACCTAACTTCCTCTATTTTATGGTAACTTTTGCATTCATATTAAAAATAATTTTACCAAGCAACAGGCTGTTTCTCTAATGTCTAAAAGAAATAAATGTATTTCTAATTTTATGTTAAAATGTATTTAACACGGCTTTTTAAGGAAACATCCATGTCTCGTTACTATTAATCTATGAAGAGCCGCCTTTTCTTGGAGCCATTTAGATGTTCAAAGAGTCTTCTTAAAAAAGTGTCGTTTATTACAATCAATTTTCTCCACATTTTAAAATCTCGCATTGTTCACTCATGGAGAGAGTGAGATTTTGAAAGTGAGAGTTCCAATAAGGAAGCTTCCACAAACTGCAATAAGCATCAGATATGACGGTCTAACTGAAAGACAATCGAAAAATCACTCATTTGCGTAAAAATGTCCTCCTCTTTGAAGCATTTTGTTGGAAAAAAAATTCAACATCTGAGTTACAACAATGCTGTATAACTGACACTGATGGAATTCACCACAATGCACACAGGAAAACTTAAGTAGATATTCTGTCTTACAAACATAAACCCTTAAAGTTCTAATTTGGTAAAAATATAAATGAGGCACAATTTCTGCATAACTTACTGGTAAACTTCTCAGGATTTAGATCAAAAAAGGGTCGACTACATAATATTCCAATACTAAAACACGTAAGTAGAATATAAAGCAGTATATATTCCATCCTCACCGCCCCCCCAAAAGCGTGGAAACTCCCAGAATGTAGGGGGGGAATCATATTACATTAGCTACATAAAAATTCAACCCACTATCGCAGATTGAACAAGGTAACTGGAGTAAAGTTTAGGCAACTGACGGTTTACGGTAAATAGTGGTTCTGCGCCGAGATGAGAAATAAAGTGGTTTACAGCGAAATGTACGAAAAACTGGTTGAAGCCAAGAAAGTGATTTAGATTAATTTTTAAGAAGCAGAGTTGCTGGGTTGGTCCTTCACACCCAGTGAAATTTCTATTAAGACCGAAGGTTCCGTTCCAAAAAGATTTTTCATCTTATCCAATTCATTTCTCTTACAATTCTGCCTCGAACAATTTCCTTCCCAAACCGCTGCCCAGCCCCTCAACCCGCACCTCCCGGCCTTTTTAGATACCCAAGCAAAGGAAAACCTCAGTAACTACGCCATCCGGGCAGGGTTAACTTAGAGCCACCTAGCGCGTGGCGGCAGGCCTCACCTACACAGCAAAGCCCTAAGAACAGACAACGCTGGGGAACGCAGCCCGGGGCCCATAAATCCAAATAGACTAAACAGCTGTGCTGGGCAACAGGACAATCCTACACAGTCAGAAACGGAAGGAAACATAGCCCAACAATTTTAACCCGCCACTGAAAAGCGATGTCCAAAAAAGGCCACAAAGGCTTTTTCACACGTGGCTGGAGAAGGGAAGTCAAGACGCGGAGGTCTCCTCCCCTCCCTCATCCCTCTACTGCCTTTCTCTCGCCACCGCTTCCCACAATCGGTGAGCCCCCTTTGTTTACACGCTTGTCCGCCTCCCGCACCAGACGAAGCCAGCAGCATCCTCGGGAGGCGCGAGAACAGTGCGGAGACGAGCGGCCGATACTCACTAGGCGGATGAAGCCGAAGCCGCGGTCCCGGTTGATGAAGACCTCGCTGGGCTCGCCGTAACGCTCGAAGAGCCTCTTGAAGTCTTCCTCGGTGATGTCGGTGGGCAGGTTCCCCACGAAGAGACGGCAGCGCTGTGTGTATGTCTTCTCGCCCGGCTTAAGGAAACTCTTAATGTCAATGGTGAACCCCATCTCCTCGGGGTGGTCCTCTGGCGCGGCGCCCGGCGGCGCCTGCTCCCCAACCATAGCCAGCGCCAGAGCCGTGGCGGCCGCCGGGTCGTTCTCCCCCGACGCCGACTCGAGCGCACGAAGGCGGGCCGGGTTTTTCTCTATGCGTACTTGCTTCAGGTTTCCTCTTAACATCATCTTTTAAGGCGTTTGCTTCAGACACGGAATATACGTCTCCACCGGTATATATAAAGCTATATATAGCTGTGGAAATGAAACAAGCACCAAGAAAGACGAAGCCTAGGTAACCCAGCTGGCACCAGTACCTTCCCAGACTCACGCACGCCGCGTCTGCACATACAAAATGGCGCTACCAAAAGCCGCAGTCAGTGGAAAAGACGCCGAATGCGAGCCCCGCCCCCTCCGCGCACTACCGCAGGCCGCAAAGGCCGAAGCCGCAGCCAGCGCGCCTGCGCATTTTTGGCGCCAACGGCACTTTGGCTAGCAGGCACATGCGCAAGTGAGACGTTGTAGCCCTTAACAATTCTCGGCCTCGTTGTGGACTGAGAGAAGCAGAGCTTCCAGTCCTGGTGTATGTTGGTCGTACTTACAGGGAACGTTATGTGATGTGTGCAGCAGTGTGTGAAAATACAGTGATTTGGGGGACACCCTTACTCTTTTAAATATCTAGCTCAATTTTCAGTGACCTTATGGAGAAATGAAAACTTGAATTTTATGCTGAGCATTGAATAACAACATATTTTCCAGTATCTTAAACAAGTAAAAACACCTTTATTTCTGTCCGTTTGAAGAGCAAGGTTTTTAGTATTGTTAACTCCCCAGAAGCCTGTACAAGACTTCTGAGTGCCTTATTATTAAATATACCCCTACAAACCAACCTCATCAATCCCTCAAGAATGCCTGTTCTTTTTTTCCCAAGAACCTTGATCACTTTGAAGTAACAGGTGGTAGATATTTAACCTAAAAGTTTTTTTTCCCAAGACCGGTATCTCTAGGATTTTGAGTATTCCATGTGACTTATTCTCCTACACTACTGCATAACCTTCAAAGAACCAACTGTACATTCTGTTCTAGGGTAAAAACATCACAGTTAGTAAAGGGAAAAGAAAGTTTTATTCGACATATACTCAAAAAGGCAAAAGTAAGGAACGGACAAGCATGCTGCCAGAGCTAATGTGTGCCCAAGTCCGAGGAAAAGGAAAGTTACAGAATCATCAGTATATATTAACATCAAATGCATAAGATAATTGAAAGCTTCACATTTTCAGATTGGCTAAAAACTGTTAAGTCATCGTGATTCTACAATTTGAACTGTCTTTCTTAATAATCAGTTGTTTTATCACAAGGCTGTAAATGGCATACAAGCAAAAAAGTTTTTGCAATAGTCACAGCAGATTCTCTAGAACTGATTGCCCGTATGCAATCTGTCCCTCTCTCAATAAATAGTTGATCCCTTTGTTAAAGTCTTGTTTTTAACAGTTTATTTCTAATGAAACAATCTGATTTTATAAAATAATTGTGCTGTTAACACTCATATAGCTAGCTGTAGTTATTCATCTCACAGGATTCTCCATAAAAACGCTTACAAAAATAATACAACCAGACTATGAACTCCTGTCGGCCATAGTCTTATTTCAGGGGTCAACAAACTTTTTCTGTAAGGAAACAGATGGCAAATATTTTAAGCTTTGAGAGCCATAGGTGATGATCACCAACTGCTCAATTCTGCCCAGTCCCGCTCCTGGCATAGTGTAAGTCCTCATTGCATGTTAAAAAGAAATGAACTCACAGTCACTCTGAAAAACAAAGTTTTTCATAAAGTGTTTTGCTCTTTTTCATAAGGTTAAACCGATATTTTCCTTATAAGAGCAATCCCTCTTCTGGGTATTTTTCCAAGTGAAATGAAAACTTGTGTTCACACAAAGACCTATGTGCAAATGCTTATCGAGACTTTATTTGTAATCAACAAAAACTGGAAACAACGCAACTGTCCTCGAACTAATGAATGGATAAATAGTGGGTACATTCATATTTACCAATCATATGATAAAATACTACTCAGCAATATAAAGGAATAAACAACAAATAACAACATGACTCAAAAAGCTACATACTGTATAACATATTGGAGAAGGTAAAACTACTATAGAGATAGAACATAGATCAATGGTTGCCAGGAGCTGGGGAGAGGTTGACTACATAGGAACCCTGGAGTTTTGGAGTGATGAAACTAGCTCTTGATTGTGGTGGTGGCTACATGACTGTTCACCTGTTCAAAAGGGCAACTGTTACTGTGTTTAAATTATACCTTAAAATTTACAATACTATTTTAAAAAAAAAAGTTTAAAACACCATCAGGGCTAATTCCTATTTGTCTCAGTCACCACCCAAAAAATTTAAGTCCTAGGTCACCATTGCCCAGATTCTAATCCCCATACATTTTTCTATATTCCTCAATCTGACCCAATTTCCCCCACCCATCCCAATTGCTCCAAAGCCTTCTTGGAAACTCTGTCATCAGCAAAATCCCCTGTTCTTAACTTTTTCTAATAACAACCCCACCTTCCTGTTTTAACCAAAACTTGGTTATCCTCTGAGGACTGCTTCTCCTGCAGCAATCTCTTGAGAGGTGAATGTGTTTTTTCTCCTGTGTCCCATGTGTCACAGGACTTAAGGATGCCATACACGACATCCTCCTTGATCCCTTGAAACTTCAAAACCACTTCTCCCTCTGTCAAAAATCCCAGCTCCAAAAATCTCATGCCAATGCAAACTCCCTCTCCCTCTCTCTCTCCCTCCCTCTCTCTCTTAGCAATCAACTTAGGCCTGTCTTTAAATTTATGACCACAAATATCAGTTAGGACCTCAGCCCTAGTTATTTCCCTCTCCTATTTCCCTAAATAATTTTCACACTATTTTCTCTGTGGCTCACTCATAGCTGATAACATCTGCTTTCATTTATTTCACTGAAGAAAAAGTCACAATCAGAATAAAATCACCTCACTCTCTCACCACCAAATCTACCAAACTAATTCCATCCGAAGCCATATACTCTGCCTTCTCGTCTATTACCATGAAAAACTGCCCATGCTTCACTCTAAGGCCAACCCACTCACTTGTACACTGGATACCATCCCCTTGCCAAGTACTGTGCTTCTGCAGTTATCTAACCATTTTCCCGAATGATCAATTTCTTGATCTGTACTGGATGATTCCCATCTGCAAAACAAACTCTGACACATCTTCCATCTTGGAAAAAAAGAAGAGAGAAGAAAAGGAAAATACCCTCCCTAGACATGTTGTTCTTTGGCTACTATCTTTTTTCCTTTTAAGAAAAATAGAAGAAGAAAAAAAAAGAGTTGTTTATACTTTCTGTCTTCACTTCCTCATCACTCCTTTTCTCCTTCAACCACACTAATTAGACTTTTATCCCCAAAATTCCATTCTGAAATCTCTCTTGTCATAGTATGCAGTGTCCTCCACCTGGCCAGATCCAGTAGTCAAATCTCAGATCTTGCTCTACTCAACCTTTCAGCACCATTTGACATTGTAGATCTGTGCCTCAATTTCCTCCTCTATAAAATTGGATAATGCCTATTTCACATAGTTATTGTGCGTATTAAATGAATTAATTAATGTAAAGCCCTTGGAAATTCTTCCGGCTCCATAAATATTAGTATTACTGTTGATCACTTCCTCCCTTCTTGAAACACTGTTCTATCTTCTTTAATGTCACATTCTCCTTGTATTTGTTCACCTGACTGGCCACTACTCAGTCTCTATGTCCTTCTCAGGATTCTTAATTTCAATATGATTGTGAAAGAAAAAAACTAATAACAGACATCTTACATTTGATTTTAAAATTTTTTCTTACCCACAAAACCAAAATTAAGTGTAAAAAAGACTGACCTAAACTGCAAAAGTATTGACTCATTGTTTTGTACAAAAAGCTGCTCTGCAGTATTGTAGATTTCTCTTTTCCAGCTAAAAAAGCGCAATCAGTAACAAAACCATTACCTCGTGATTTAATGAAAAATTCTGTGGGCTTCTTTAATTTTAATTCTGTTGTAGGGGAAAAACATTACAAAGTTTAGTAAAGCAAAAAGGAAGTTTTATAGTATCTCATAACACGGATGAAACTGGAAGATATTATGCTGAGTGAAATAAGTCAACCACAAAAGGACAAATATTGTATGAGACCTCTACTGTATAACTCATGTAAAAGTTTACACACAAAAAGAAAGAATCTTGGTTGGTTACGAGAGATGGGAGGGATTGGGGGGGGAACTAAATAGATAAATGGTAACTTTGGTGAAGGGTAGGACAGTACACATCACCGGGGAAGCCAGCACAACTTGTACAAGGAAAGGTCATGGAAGTTCCATAGACACATCCAAACTCCCTGAGAGACTGAATTGCTGGGTGGAGGGCTGTGGGGACCATGATCTCGGGCAACATCTAGCTCAATTGGCATAACACAGTTTATAAAGACAGTGTACTACATTCTACCTTGGTGAGTAGCGTCTGGGGTCTTAAAAGCCTACGAGCAGCCGTCTAAGATACTCCACTGGTCTCATCCCTTTGGGAGCAAGGGAGAATGAAGAGAACAGGATACAAGGAAATGATTAGTCCCAAGAACTAATGGACCACAGCTACCAAGGCCTCCACCGGACTAAGTCCATTACAGCTAGATGGTGCCCGGCTACCACCACTGACTGCTCTGACCAGGATCACAACAGAGGG